CACACACACAGAAACAATGTGTTTCCATGTGCACACAGTCTGGTGACTGCCATCAGTTTTACCTTTCTGTCACATGTACCAACACATAATCCTGTGCTCTGCAGGTGGGGGAGATATTCTCCGCAGCAGGAGCTGCTTTCACCAAACTGGGAGAGTTGACCATGCAGCTGCACCCGGTGTCTGACTCCAGCCCAGCAGGGTGAGATGCGTGCACAGTTTACTTCAGTCCTGGGTTCTTTGCTGCTGAAGGTCCAGCTGAAATGTGTTTGTGCCTGCTACAGTGCACTGCACTTATCTGCTGTGTTTCTCCTTTGAGAGGAAATTCAAAACCAGATGAGAGGTGTCTATATTTAATGATGGCAGCCCCATGTTTCACATGAATTCAATAGAATGCCATTAGGTGTCTGCCTGTATGGCTCTAAAGCTAAAGTGAGCATGCTTTCAAAAATAGTTTTTATCATTTGACTTCATCCAAAGCACAGTAAAGAGAAAAACCTAAACCAGATCAATATTTGCTATGATCCCCTTTGCATTTAAACCAGCATCAGTTCTCCTTGTTGACATAGTTCAGTTTAGAGCTATTTACCTTATGAATGTAGAAGGTAAGAGTTTCTTCAGTGTAGTGGCCCAAAGTTTTGAAATACATAGACAGGAATAAGCTTATCAGCCCCTCAGTGCAGAAAGCACGAATGCCAGGTTTTTCTGGATGCTTAGAGCACACAAGCATGATCTGGTATCAGATTCAGTCAGCAAAGAGGGAATAAAGAGATTTGCATATGGTACTCTTACAGTGGCGGTTCTACATTGAATTACTCCCCGGGTGAGACCCCCTCTGAGTGCCAAAACCGCCACTGTGCTCTTAGATCTCGCTAATGCCTTTGGCTCTGTACCACACAGCCAACTGTGGGAAGCACTGGCATATTTTAAAGTACCAGACCTAGTTAAAGGGCCAGTGAGAGAATGTTTTTAGGATATCCAGCTGTTTCACAACAGCAAAGCATACTACAGCTTGGCAGCAACTGGACATAGGCATCATGGCAGAATGCACCATCTCACCACTAGTGTCTACCACAGCAATGGAGGCCTGGGCTCCAGCAGTAGCAACAGAAAATATTTTTAAAGTTTACTTGCACAATTAAGGTTGCAGTTTACTTTGAACAGAGGCAACATTAGTGCCCTGAAGAAGCATCTAAGACCACACACACACACACACACACACACACCTACACACACACACCTACACCGTGGGCGTCTTGACTTTACCTGCTGCCTAATGAATACGAGACAGCTAAATATTATTAGTATTTTCACATTGTGTGAATTTTATTTAAACCCATAGGCCTATTTGTTATTTAGCCAATTAGGGGCAGTACAAGGTGAAAATACAATAGGCTAAGGGAGATAGCACTGGTTGAGACATGACGCTGCTGTGCCCAAAATTCTCAGCAAGGCTTTGTTCAAACATAGCAGGACCAAGGCGGGTACAGCCACGATGTTCACAGCCTCAGTTTTAGCTTGTTGTACCTAATAAACTGGCAGTTGTGTGCATGTTGTCTAGTTGTTCAACCTGTGATCACAGTGTGTAGATGTGGTCTCAGCAGTAGGTTGAACACTGACAGACATACAGGAGATGCTGATCTCCTCAATGAGTGTAAATCGATGTCCTCTTTGTCCCCAGAGCCAAATGGACGGAGACGGAGATCGAGATGCTTCGTTTGGCCGTGCGTCGATTTGGAGATGACCTCAACAACATCAGCACTGTGATCAAAGAGCGCACTGTGTAAGTCCACATGTGTTAATGAAGGGTTTCACTTAAGATGTCATCTTGGGCTCATAAGAAATGAGAATAGGCCTTTTTCACTTTTCTGATCATTTATTTAAGCTAAAAGTTCTACATTTACTACTTGATTATCAAAATAGTTGCCGGTAATTCTCTGTTGATCAGCTAATTGATAGGTTGACCAGATGTTGCACCCCTGTGGTCATGTGACTCACTGAGCTTCAGATGTGGGTGGGTTCTTGCCGCCTTTAGTTAGATACAGGATAGACCCTCCGTCCTCTGCATCAGGGTGCAACCATGTTATTTAACAGCCAAGTGTTCTGTCTGTAAGATGTCTGACCATAGTTCAGCTCAGTTCAACAATACAAAGGTCAGAAAAAAATGGGAAAGTCAGCTGGTCTTCACATTCATTGTGACATTTTTTTTTGCTTAAAACTGAGTTAAACTATTTGTCAAACTGTTGCCAATTAATTAAGTGAATGGATTAATTCACTGCTGGTGTCAGCTCTGGTCCTGGTTTGTTTCTGGGGCCATAATGAAGAGTAGTTAATGCCATCGGCTGCTCTTCTTTTTCTGCAGGGCTCAGATAAAGAGCACGGTGAAGAGGAAGTTGTACGAGGACAGCCGAGTCCCCATTTCTTCTGAATCCCCGAAGAAGACAGCCACGAAAAGTGCTGCCGCCATGACAC